TGTGATTGTGGTAAACCTACCCGTAGATACAGCTTTAGTCAAACATGGTAAAGCGATAAGAACTGTGAACTGAATACTGTGTACTTCAAATTGTAAACTAGTTGATACTAGCAGAAATGACATCGCGTAGTGAAACTATTTTAATAGGATATAAACCGATATGAATGGATCAGAAGTCATGTGTAACGTTTATGATACTGAAACACTGAATTAGTATATAGTGAACTATTTACTGTCAAAATTGTGATACTTAATATTGAATTTTGTTATCTAATGAACTTTCATGCCTTGAGTTATAATATTGAGATGATAGATTCTGAATGTTTATCGAACAAACTGGTTTGTAAGGTTCGGTTAATGAATTAAGATGTAGATATCACGTGTTTTCTAAAATAAAGAGAAAAATATTTTAAACCATTTCCGCCGGCAGTTTTATATTTTCTACTAACTTGGACAGACTATTATATTATTTCTTGGTTACTTACATGCTTACTAAGCATATTAAGCTCACTCTATTTATTATTGATCTCTTCCATATTAGGATTCCCAAAACTCCCTCTTGAACAGCGAAGGACTTGCTAGAAGATCGTTTAATTTTTATTTTAATCGAACAGTACTTAATGTTAAACATTTCTTTTTATAAGTGTTTATTTTAAAGTTTAAACATGTTTTACGGGTACTGAATATTTTGAGCTAAATATGCAATAAATGTATTTATTATTATTTTAAAATTTACTCCGCGACGTATTCATATAGATTATTTTATCATGATATAGTGTGTGTGTACAGTTAAAACTCTAAATGAGAATTCAGGCTATTACATATATAATATATAAAATGATACCTTAATTTTTTAAAATTATTTTTAATAAAATAAAAAAATAGAAAAATTCTTTTTCTTCTATGTAAAAGTTATTAAAAAAATATTTTTTAATTTTTTATTGTACTTTCTACATGTCAAATATAAGGTGAATTTGATATAAAAATTTAGTCAACTAGAAATAATATATATTTATATAATTAACATGTATAATTTGCTCTCAAGTGATAAATCTACTAACTTTATAAATGGTGTTTAACATATAAGAATTAAGAGACCAACAAAATAAAAAATTAGTATTGTAAAAATTAGAATATGTCCTTTGTTATTCTTTGAATTATAATTCAGAGGTCTTCGTTTTCTTATACATGTAAAAGAGTGAGCAACACCTAATTAAAACTAAATAATAAATCTTAAAATACAAACAATAACAAAAAAATCCAGGTTTCAGAAATTTTGAGAAATTCATTTGTGTTAAAAGAAATAAATAAAAACATTTTTTTAAAAAAATTTGTTTTGGATAATCTGATATTTTATTATTTCTTTATTAAATTGTTAAAAATATATTCTATTTACGTATTCACTTGTTCTTTCAATTTCCCCAAAACCAGACCTAACCTTCCATCCATTTCCTTCCACCTCTTTTCTTCCCTCTACCTCTCTTTTACGGATTCCAGTATTGGCTGCTCAAGATGAAGATAATGGTTGCTATCAAGCGAGTTGTAGACTACGCCGTTAAGATCAGAGTTAAACCTGATAAGGTAAGCCCGATTAACTCCTCCAATTTCAGTCGTCTCATCAAATGATCTTAATTCTGCCATTTGCTTACTCGATTGACTCAATCGAGCAGACAGGTGTCGAGACCAAGAACGTTAAGATGTCCATGAATCCGTTCTGCGAGATAGGACTGGAAGAGGCCCTGAGGATCAAAGAGTCAGGCCTAGCCACCGAGGTCGTCGCCGTCAGTTTGGGCCCTAGCCAGTGCGTTGATTCCCTGCGGACTGGTCTTGCCATGGGTGCTGACAGGGCTATCCACGTGGAGGCTAATTGTGACTTGTACCCTCTCCCTGTTGCTAAGATTTTGAAGAAACTGGTTCAAATTGAGAATCCTCACCTTCTTTTTCTTGGCAAGCAGGTATCTACTTTTTCATTCTCCACTTCTTTTTTTTTTCTAGGAAAATTAGCACATAATAAACTTGTTTGCGTTTGAACTCTTATTGTGAATTTGATCAGTTATTTTTTTAATACTAATCAATTGTGTACTTAGTAGGTACTGCGTATTTTATGCTTCAAATTCACTTTCTCATTTCTAGGGATTTGTTGTCAATTAGAGGGTTTTGGATTAATCAGTTGTAAATGAAGCAATGAGTCAATTAAATTTCAAAATTTAGGCTTGTTTGCTGGAATGTTTCAACAAAATACATATACATTTAGAAAATGAAAGCTATAAATGGTAAAAGCTATAAATGGAGCCTGAATACTTCTTAGTACTTCTTCGTCACCAATTGAAATTTATCTCAACTAACCATTGGAAGTGTAGGAATATCTAATGGTTTTTTGAACTTTTTAAATCTCTTATTAACTATCAACAGTGTAGACACTCCCTTTACTTCAAAATGACACACAATCCTTTGATTATTGGTTTTAGTTCTGCGTGCTATCCTTTTGTATTGATATTTTTGAGGCTTTTTTCGTTTTTAAATAAAAGTAACTGTTTCTTATTATCCAGATTGTTGTGTAGGCAATTGATGATGACTGCAATCAAACAGGGCAAATGGTCGCGGGGTTGCTTGGTTGGCCACAGGGGACTTTTGCCTCAAAGGTTAGTCCAAGACTCTGATTCGATTTATCGAAAGGTCTTTCCTTTTTTTTTGGTTTTAAGTCACTTGTTGTAGGGGTTCTGTCTTCTTTTTTCCTTCTATTGCACGCAGTACTGAATGGTTCAACAAATTTACTCTTATGCTGGGATAGCATAGGTTTACACGCTAGCTGTTTTAACCTGTAAACTATTCCGTTGTAACTTATAACTATTATAATTGGTTTAGGACATCCATTATGATTGCTGTTATTTTGAATTAGGCTAGGCTTAAGTTTTTCCCTATAGAAACAAAAATTTTGCTATGATAGTTTTTGCCTTTGGTTTTTTTATCAGTATCTCGCCCATTATTTTCTCCTCTGGTTATCAATATTTGATTCTGTTTTTTGATTTACTGGTGTTGTCTAGTAGGTTGTGCTGGATAAGGAGAAACAGATAGTTACTGTGGATAGAGAAGTGGATGGAGGTCTTGAGACTTTATGTTTAGACTTGCCTGCTGTAATTACGTAAGTTGAGAGCCTTTCAAATTATTTTCTTTTTAGCGAACAATTAAGACTTGGATCAGTTTGTATATTTATTTAGCTGCTGTATAACATAGAAGTATGTCACAGTCTCGGAACTGGGATGTGGTCAGGGCCTTGACACTTGAAAGCCTTGAAATGAGCTTGGTGCTTGCTCGGTAGACGTGCGACCTTTACGGCCTATTTTGAGGCTTCTTTTACAGAACCTCAGAATTCATGAGTACTCACTGGACTTAGGCTTCATAATTGATACTTTATTAATAACCTGATGAACATACTTATAGGGGAAACTGCTGAACCAGACTCCTGGATTGTAAACCTAATCTGCCTCCTAAATTTAATGTTAAATAAATTCCTAAAGCAAATTCCTGACTGAGGTATCAATTGAATCCTGAGCCAATAGTCCCAACTCTCTTTTAAGAGAAGGCCATATCCAACACATTCAACATAATCCACCATTTAAGTAAGTGACATTCTTCTTCCACTCATAAACCCTGTGTACATACCGGATACCAGTGAACTTATCACGTGGATCCCACTATTTTGTGCATGACAATACTCCATGTAGCTTATCCTTGTGCAATAGTGTTGGATCGCAAACACATCCTCCCACCAAGAGATTGCTGGATCAAGGCCTTCCTAATGGACCAAAAATTCCTTCCTGCCTGCACCTGCTGATCGAAAACTGCCTTTACATTTGGTAGGACCTGACCATTTGACACTGTCCGAAGAGTATGTTGGCTTGTTGCTATTAAATTGCTCGAGGCATGACACATGGAAAACAAGATGGACTAGTGAGTCTGCTGGTGTGCTAGCCAGTTAACAACAATACTAATCTGATCAATTTTAAAAGGCCCATAGAAGCGGTGTATCAACTTCTTATTGGGACAATGGGCCAATTACAGCAGTACTTAAGAGTGAAGACAAAGCAACATCCGACCACCAACTTGGAAATGGACTTCCACAATGACGATCATGCACAAGAGCACTTATTGTAACTTAAGCTTGTTGAAGAGGTTCACTGAGATCCTTTCAGGAGTTGGTCTCTAGGTCTATTTCTTGGCCTTGGCCAACATGGGGCAATAGGGAAGTAGTTTTGGACCATAGACCACTTCAACAATGAGGTTTTGGGAGACGAATGAAGTCTTGTACCATAGCAATATTCTGCCCAAGACAACAAGCAAGTCTACTTTTGGGGCGATCGTTAGAAAAATAACAGAGATACCTCTTAATTTGTACACTTGACCACCTCAAGCTGACCATTTGATTGAGGACTGTAGGCTAAGCTAAATGTGAGTTTGGTGCGCAATAGCTGAACCCAGAAGACATTGTTAAGGTGACATCTCTATCATTGACAATGGATCTGATAATCAATGTAATTTGAAGATAGAGTCAAAGAACAGTCATGCTACTTACTCTCGTATAAGGTTGTAAAGAATGGTAAAAAGCTTCTCATATTTAGAAAAAGTAGTCTACCACCACTGATGATGCTGTCTTTTGTATATGGGGAAAGGCTCCCTTCACAAGTTCATTGATATGTCTGCTTAAATATGTTCATTGATAGGAAGAAGCTGTTAAATTTGTGCTGGTTGCACTTTCAATCTTGTGCATTGAGAGATAAAGCAAATTTGAACAAAGTTCTTGGGTTTTTTGTTTGACAGCCTTCCAGTAAAATCACTTGCCATACACCTTAATGTTTGTTTGGTATCCTTCACGGCCCATGTGAGTGCCTTCCTGAATCCACCAGTATGAGCAACAATAATCATGGCTTGAGATTTTATCAGTTAGGTACTTCTTGTTCCCTCTGTTATCATGCAGTTAAATCTCTGGGTTGCTGTCAGCCAAGACCAGCTATTCCACTTATTTCAAGCCAACATGTATATTCAGCTATTCTTCTTATAAACGGTTCATTATAGGTGGAGGGTCCATTTTTTCTGCATGTCCTCCATCTCTCTGCTTAATCATTTTATGAACTGTGAACTGTTTGAGGTATCTTGCATATAGGGAGTCCATTATGGTCAAACCAGTGTGAATTGTAATTCCAACTCTGCTACTATAAACTTTAAATTGCTAAGGTCAGTCTTCCACCTCTTGTTCAGTTGTAAGGCCAGAAGCACAAGTGGCAAGCTGCTCAAACTGCCGCCATCAATCATTCACTATCCTAATCTGGTGCAACTGCACCAACTCGTCGAGCTTGTTACTAAGAAATGGGGAACCAAGGGGTAAAGTACCGTGCATTTTGAAATCCTCCCAACTCATTTTTGGTTTGTCATGCTCTAATT